CATGCGTAGTAGAACCCTCCAAGGGTGGGGCTGGGGTGCCCACTAGCTCAGGCTAGAATGGAGGTGCGCAGACAGCAAGGGACCAATGAACAGCTACCAAAAGAGACGAATGTCCACACCTTTATCTCAGCGGTTCTGCCAGGCGTCTGTGGCCGCTCCGATCTTTCCCCCACGGGGTCTACCCAAGATGGCGGCTCCTAGAGCAGCCGAGAGTCCCGGACTAGAAAGCAATAGATTTCTTGCTTCTGCCACAAATTCCCCCAGCTGTGAACTTTCCAACCTTCTAAGTATTCCTTTATATGTGGTTCAGAGTTCTGGGACCATCCCCTGAGCCTGCTTGTTCGGGTATTCTGTGTTGTTGTTGGCAGAGCTCTCTGCTATACGTCCATCCGATCCGCCATCTAGTTTGTTCCTCCTTCACATACTTTTTGAAGCCTTCTCATATTTTTATTAGAATGCATCTTCTTTTGCTTATGGTCAGTTTATGGGGCTAACAGAATTTTGGATAGGTATGAGTGCATTTAGATCTTTAAATTTACATTGCTATAGTGTCTTCTTACTTTATGTTCAGTTTCATCCCCACTAATATTCCTAATTTCTTTTTTGCTAGATAATTTGAGTCTCTTAGATTTGTCATAGAATGGCTGTTTAGGTAGTAATTTACTAAACAGAAAAAGATTTTCAAGGAAGAAAAATCTTTTAAGATTATGAACCATTTAAACCATATCCCGTAAAATTTGTATGTGGATTCATGTAGTGTTCCCTGCCCAATTTACAAAAAGAAGATAGTGACTAACTTTTAAACTGGCAATATGTTTGGCCCAGGTATCAACTTCTGGAGACAACATGGTAGAGTGTCAGCTGGAGACACACAATAACAAGATGGTCACTTTCAAATTTGATGTTGATGGTGATGCTCCAGAAGATATTGCAGACTATATGGTAAGTACAGTAAAACCAAGCTATTTCCCTTCAGCACTTTCTACCTCTTATGTACCCTAACATTCCCCACCCCCATTTATTCAAACTCATTTTCTTTCTAGTGCCCTGCTGCTAGTTTTAAAATTTGTATTGAGTCGAAGAATTTTTGATCAAAGACATCTTCTATGGCTTCAGTTTATCTATCTGGAAAATGTAAGGGGGGTGGTGTACATTAATTACAAGATGATCTACGAGTATGAGTCAAAGATTATCTGCACTCTGTAGAATTTATTTTAATTACGTTTTAGAAAATACAAATGCATCATTTTTCAACATAATCCCCTTGCTTTTCAGTACACTTTGTACATCTGTATTCCCTTATTTAAAAATGTTTTAGGCTGAACTGCTAGCCACAAATGCACCACTGTCTTCACTTCTTCATCAGAGGTGAATCTTCGTCCTTGAAGGAGACCAAACAGGTGAAAGTCCAATGGCGCAAGATCAAGACTATAGGGAGGATGCTTTAATACCTCAAAGTGAAGGTTTTGCAGTGTCAACAGTGTGGACAGAGGTGTGCAGATGAGCATTATCATGAAAGATCACAATGCCCTTGAATAGCAGTCCTCTACGTTTAATCCAAAGTTCAGGCTTCAGCTCTTCAGTGAGCATCTCACTGTAAGGAGCATTGTTGATTGTTGAACCTTTTTCCTGGTAGTATTCTAAATCTGGCCCTTGAGAGTCCCAGAAAACAGTAAGCCATGGACGTGGATGAGCGTTTTAATATAACTGGAGTGCGGATCATTTTTTACGTATTATCGTAGATCTGTAGCATGTTTCTGACTGTCTGACTGCATGTTAAAATCACCTGAAGAACTTTTAAAAATAATCACATTTCTCGAGTTTCTAATCTGGAGTTTCAGGTGAGGCTGAGACCTCAATAGTTTGTAAAGCTCCTCAGGTAATTCTAATGTGTTGACCACTCTTTTTAACATCTTGCATATGTTGTTGTTGTTGTTAGGTGCCATCAAGTCAGTACTGACTCATAGCGACCTTATGCACAGCAGAACGAAACACCACCCTATCCTGGGCCAACCTCACTGTTGTTGCCACGCTTGAGCTCATTAATGCTGCCACTTTGCCTGTTCATCTCGCTGGGCGTCATCCTGTTTTTCTCTGACCCTCCGCCGTACCAAACATGATAACCTTCTCCAGCAACTGGTCCCTCCTGACAGTATGTCCAAAGTATGAGAGATGATGTTTACAGCTATTTCTCTTCATTTTGAGTTGTGCCCCATCAGCAAATGAAGGTCCCGCGGGCTTTTCTCCCATGGGCTTTACTCCATTCGCGTTACCACGGTCAACTCTACTTTGAGGAGGCATCTCTTTCCCAGTCACATTTTGAGTGCCTTCCAACCTGAGGGGCTCATTTTCCAGCACTATATCTGACAGTGTTTCTTTGCTATTCATAAGGTTTAGAGTGACTAAATATTCGGAAGTAGTTTATCACTCTTTCTTCCTAGTCTGTCTTCATCTTGGAACTCATCTGAAACCTGTCCACCATGGGTGACCCTGCTGGTATTTAAAATACCAGTGGCATAGCTTTCAGAATCACAGCAACTCACAAGCCAACACAGTACGACAAACTGACAAACGAGTGGTGGAGCTATATCTTGCATATAGCGCCTCAAATTTTATTCATCATTTTATTTAGTTTTTAATTTCCTTGAATTGTTACAACTACCCCATGGGATCTCCAAGACTATAATCTTTATGGAAGCATCTTATTTCTGCAGAGCGGTTGGTGGGTTTAAACCACTAACTTTTTGGTACAACCACTGCACCACCTGGATCATTTTTTGAATTCTTAGACTTAATTTAGTATTTTTTTCCATTTTGTTGGGATTGGACTATGGAGGTTGGGAGAGTATATGATGTTTTTCTTTCTCCAGTTTTTTTTGGATTTGCATTGTTTACCTTCTGAAAGCTAATCATTATGCTACTTCTGCTTCTTGGTATTTTAATTATATACTTGCTTCATTAGATGTTTGCAGTCCCTTCCATGTACCAACAGTTAACAGCATTTACCTATATTCACTTAACTATTACATTCTTTCCTCTGTCTGTTATCTCATCTCTCCTCTGCTAACCTCCGTCTTGTTATATATTGTCTGCCCTGTTACCTAGATCAACATGTGTCTTTCTTGTAGCCGATGAATAATTTTCCCTCTCCACCATCCCCACCAACCATCATAGATTTTAAAAAAAAACATTTATATAATTCACAGTTTCAAAGTAACAAGCACACACCCTTCCCATTTTCCAGCCTAACCCCTTCACTGGGATGAGTTTCTTATCTGGAGTCCTGAAGTTTTTAATATGCTTCAAAATTCTTTTGTTTGGATATAGGGCTTCTCCAGGTCGTAGCTCACCTGGGGCCATAGCTTTTAAATCTTTGTGGGAGCAGAAAGCCTCATCTTTTTCTTGAAGAGCAACTCAGCAGTGCTGAGCCATCGCAGATAATGTTCTCATTTATCACTGCGGTGGGCCCATCGTATTTTCTTTTAACTGTTTATTGTGATTTGGGTAAAGTTTGTAGAGCAAACTGGTTTTCCATTCAACAATTCATCCACATTTTGTTTTGTGATATTGATTGCAATTCCCTCAATGTAAACAGCACCCTCCCCGATTTCTCTCTATGTTAGCTATTTTCATCCCTCCTTCTTTCTATCCCTTCCTTCCTTCTGAGCTTTATCCCTGTGCAAATGCTGCCCTTTTGATCTCATTTGATTGTTCCAAGGAGTATGTACCTCCCTGGTGTTATTTACCTTAGTAATGTTTGGTTGAAAGTTGAGCCACTGGGGTAAGTTCAGTTACAGGCTTGAAGGGTGACTAAAGACCATAGTCTTGGATTTTACTAGTTCCTGTCAGACTGGTAAGCCCAATGTACTTTATGAGTTTGGGTTTTATTCCACATTTTCCTCCCACTCTACCCAGAACCTTCTATTGTGACCCTTTTCACAGTGTCAACTAGTGATAGGCAAGAACTATCTAGTTCTTCTGGTCTCAGGATCGTGGAGGCTGGAATTTTCATGGTGCGTTAGGTATTTGGACTAATTGTTTCTATGAATGTTGTATTTTCTTTGCTCTTCTTTGCTTAGGATGGGCTAAGACCCGATAGTTGCACCTAAGTTGGCTGCTCACAAGCTTTTAATACCACAGTCACTATTTACCAATGTGGGATGTAAAACATTGATCATAAGAACTCTGGTGGCATAGTGGGTTACACATTGTGCTATTAATGGCAAGGTCAACAGTTTGAATCCATCAGCTGCTCTGCATGAGAAAGAGGAGGCTTTCTGCTCCTGTAAATATTTACAACCTTAGAAGCTGTATATAAGGTTGCTGTGAGTCAGCATAGACTCCAAGCAGGGGGTTTGCTTTTTTTTTAATAAATTGAACTTGTCCCTCAAGACTATGGTCCTAAGCCTCTAAACCCAGTGACTTCTTCCCTCAAGGAATTTGATTTTAAGAAGTTATTTTAACATTGCCTCCTATATGATATATTAATTGATATATTTGTAGCACATATAAACTGCTGTTATTGTTAGATGCTGTCAAGTCATTTCAACTCATAACAACCCTATGCAAAACATAGCGAAACACTTCCCAGTCCTGCACCTCAGTATCGTTGTTATGTTTGAGCCTGTTGTTGCTGCCACTGTGTCAATTCATTTAGTTCAGGATCTTCCTCTTTTGGGATGACCCTCCATTCTACCACTCATGATGTCCTTCTCCAGGGGCTGGTCCCTCCTGATAGCATGTCCAAAGTGTGAAAAACGAAGTCTTGCCATCCTGGGTTCTAAGGAGCCTTGTGGATGTACTTTGCCCAAGGCAGATTTATTTGTCCTTCTGGTAGACCATAGTACTTTTAATATTCTTCTCCAGCACCATAATTCAGATGTATCAGTTCTCTGCATTATTCAACTTTCACATATATATGTTGTTGTCGCTGTCGTCAGGTGCCATCGAGTCGGAACCGACTCATAGTGTCCCCATACACAGCAGAATGAAACAATATCAGATCCTATATGAGGTGATTGAAAAACCATGGCTTGGGTCAGATGTCCTCAAAGTGACATCTTCGCTTTTGAACACTTTAAAGAGGTCTTCTGCAACAGATTTGCCTAATTGCAATACATCATCTGAGTTCTTGACTACTTACCTGAGAGTTGATTTTGGATTCAAGCAAAATAACTTCAATCTTTTCTCCATTTATCATGATACAATGTAAAGATTTTTGTTTTCTGTACATTGAGGTGCAATCCACACTGAAGATCGTAGTCTTCAGTGAGTATGTTATCATTTTTGCTTCATGCTAGCAAGGTTATATGCTCTGCATATCAAAGGTTGTTAATGAGTCGTCCTCCAATCCTGATGCTAAATTCATATAATCCAGCTTCTTGGATTATTTGCTCATCATACAGAATGAATAAGTATGGTAAAAGAATACAACCCTGACATATGCCTTTCCTGATTTTAAACCATTCGGTATCCTCTTGTTCTGTTCAAATGATTGCCTCTTGGTTTATGTACAGCTTCCTCATGAGCACAATTAAGTATTCTGGAATACCCATTTGCAATGTAATGCATGATCGTAGAATACTCTTCCTTTTCTGTAAGTGTCTTTTGGTTTCTTGTAGTAGTGTTTTGTAGTATTATTTGTATAAGTCTCTTGTTTCTCAGGTTAGATTTATTATTATTAAGTATTTCATCTTTTGGGTGGCTACTACCAATGGTATTGTGTTCCTAATTTCCTTTTCAGAGTTGTTTTGAAGTGCTATGGAGTCTGTTCTGATTCATAGCAATCTTGTATAGGGTTTTCCGAAGCTTTAAATCTTTGCGAGAGCACAAAGCCTCATTTTTCTCCTATGGAGAGGCTGGTAGGATCGAACTGCTGGCCTTATTGTTCCAAGTCTAGTACTTATTATATGGAGCCACCATGCTTCCATTTATTAGTGTAGAAGAATTCAATTCATTTTTGTATATTGATCTTGTAGCCTGCCACTTTGCTGACTCTTTCAATGAATTCCAATAATTTTCCTGCTAAGTTTGGGACTTTCTATGTAGAGGATCATATCATCTGCAAACAGAGGGTTTTACTTCTTCATTGCTAATTTGGATTCCTTTCATTTCCTTTTCTTACCTTAGAGCTCTGCCTAAGACTTCTAACACAATATTGAATACAAGTGGTGATAAAGGGCATCCTTGTCTGGTTCCTGTCCTCAAAGAGAATGCATTCAGTTTCTCTCTATTGAGATTATTGTTGCCTGTTGGATTTGTATATATGCTCTTAATTATGTTGAAGACTTTCCCCTCTGTTCCTACTGGGGGAAGGTCCTTGTCTGTTTTTAGCATTTGGGGGTCTAGTATTCCTTGGATATATCACTGTTTCATGGCATCAGTCTCCTATATGTCTAGGAAGTTCTCAGTGGAGGAACTCTGGGTCCAAAGGACAGGCTCCACTACTCCTCTTTGTTCTTGGTGGTACTGAGGTCCCTTTCTCTCTCTCTCTCTGCTATCTTCTTTTACCTTTTATCTCTTGTAGGATAAAAAGTGATGCACACTACACCACAGGGAAGCTCCCCTACATCATACCAGGGCTTTGACCTGAATAAGGGTATTGCATGCCACTTAACTAGTAACCTAATCAACATTAACTTAACTAATCAGCTCTCATTAGCATATAGAGGTTTAGATGTATAATACAACATAAAATAAAGGATAATTACATCAAATCACATACGGAGGATTTTTCATCATTACATAACTGTCAAACTACTTCATTACCAAGCTACTAAGAATCATGGTCCAGCCAAATTGACACATATTTTTAGGGAGACACAGTGCTATCTTTGACAGCATCCTATTTTTAAGCATAAACATTGCCTTAGTCATGGTCTTCAAATGGCAGTGACACCAGTTATTTTTTTAAATGCTGACTTCTCCTTTAATAGGTAGTTCTAATCTGACAAGTGTCAGTGGTGTCAAAATAGGAACAATAATTTAGTGGCTTTTTGTTGCTGATGTTTGTTAATTCTGTTGTGGCATTTGTAGCTAAATTCACAATTTTAATTTTTTTATTGTGATCATCACTGATACACTGTTGTAATTTAGAAGAAACTGATTTCATTCTCATGAATATAATTGCTTTTACTTTTTTGGCAGGTCGAAGACAACTTTGTGCTAGAAACTGAGAAAGAAAAATTTGTAGAAGAATTGCAGGCTATCGTAGGTCAAGCCCATGAGATCCTTCATGTCCACTCTGATGCAGAAAGAGGCTTTGGAGTTGACTCTATTCCTGTGGAATCCAGCAGTAACCAAGTAAGAACAATTGCTTAGTAAATAGGTTCTCTCAGATATATATTAGGAACTTCTTTATTTATCTATTCATTTTTAATTCAGACAGGATCATCTGAACAACTACAGATAAATTCTGCATCCACTCAAACCAGCAGTAAGTATATTTAATAAAATTTACCATTTGGCTTTTGAAGCAAGACATTTGAAAACTTTAATTTATATATCATTATTATAAAAGATATTAGCCAATAAAGGAATTGTGAATGTAGGTTTTCCCACATTTTGAAAGGAAATTATAACCCAGAAGTAAGACACCATTCTCCAAATTTCCTCCAAGTGCTGGTTCTTTATCTTATTTCTGAGTTATCGCATGGTATGTTACCAGAAAAGCAGTGACAGTATTGATGATCTTTAACGGCTTAACTGTTTGAAACTTAACTGGTAAGTTTTGTTTATTTATTTGCTTTTTCTTGATATGAGGGGAACAGAGACTTTTTATCTGAAAGCATTGTGTTCTAACTTTGCCTCATATCTTGATCTCATTTCACCAGTGATATACTTCAACATTCTCTCATCACTGATAAGTTTTGAAAAATCAGGTACTGCATAAACTTTTAGGGACTAAAATGGGGTGTTCTATTTTCTTTCCTGATTACTTTAACTCTTCATTCTTCTCAGCTATGGTCATGGTTATATTAGGAACATCTAGGATGGTGAGACAGGTCATAGAAAAATTAGGTCCTTTCAAGTAATTAAATTGATCTGAAAAAGCAAAATGTGGTGTGGGAATATTGTAATTGTATCTGGATACAATTACCCTGAAAATTAGTTTGACTATTATATGCCTGGAGCTCTGGTAGCATAGTGGTTACGAATTGGGCTGTGAACCTTAAGGTCAGCGGTTCGAAACTACCAGCCTCTCCGCAGAAGAAAGATGAGGCTTTCTACTTCCGTAAAGATTTACAGCCTCGGAAATCCTGTACAGGGTTGCTATGGGTCGGAACCGACTCGATGGCACTTAACAACAACATTATATGCCTGGGTCCTGTATCTTAATTTTCTTGTCTGGACAAGTGTCTAGCTGACAAAGTAGGATAAAATATAAAAGAATATGTTCACAAAGTAGGAGTAAAAATAAATTTATTAAATTAACATATAGTAAAATTGATTTGTGTGTATGTGTATAGTTCTGTAAAATTTGATACTTGCACAGATTTCTATAATCACTACCATAATCTGGATATAAAACAAAAGATGTAGGTTTTAGTAGAAAAACTACTTTTCGTTTTATCATAAAAGGCTTTGCTTCTAATTGCTTGCATTTAATTGTTTGAGAGATGCCTTGCTTCTAATTGTTTCTTTGCTTATAATTGTTCTAATTGTTGGAGTCCTGGTGTGGCGCTGTAGGATAATGCACTGGACCATAAGGACGGCAGTTCCAACCCACCAGCCACTCTCAGAAACCGTATACAGGGTCACTATGGGTCAGAACTGACTCGATGGCACTTAACAACAACAATTGTTCAAAAAGGCCATGAATCTAATTGCATTGTTATGCAATGTTTGTTTTGATAGAACCTAAGATCCTGCTGTATAGATATCTTGTGCTTAGTTCTATAAATTATCTGTTAGATTGTGAGGTCTGGTCTTAAAATTGCACATATTCTAATGCTGTTGGAATTGGAGATATAAGACAGAATGGTGTTTTAAGCTAGTTTCTTTAGTAAGGTAAAAATAATTGATAGTTAACTTAGCAATCAATGTGTTAATGTTTTTTGTTAATCATTTCTGCAGATGAGTCTGCTCCTCAGTCATCCCCAGTTGGTCGGTGGCGTTTCTGTATCAATCAAACAATAAGAAATCGTGAGGCTCAGTCTCCTCCTCTTCACCATTCTCTGTCTACAGTTCCTGGACTACATCCACTTTCTAGTAAGTTTTAATTCTCTGGCAGCTTTATTCACACTTGGAGGAATGGGGTTAGAAAATACAAGTATATACCATATGCTTAACTTATCTTCCTGAGTGCTTTATACTTATGAGAATCTTCATAGGCATTTTTATGCAGGTTTAACTTAAACCATTTAAATGTTAATGTTTATGGAAAAAGAAAGCATGTTTTTTTTCCCCCTTGACAGATCAGATTCTGTATATTTTGAGTCTTATTGACAAAGGTAATTTGACACAGGTTCTTATTTGCTTTTTGTACCACCTATCCTTTTTGAGTTTCTGGTACTAGTTCATACTTTAAACTTACTAATACATATTTAGCCATTCTTTGTTATTGTTTCAGGTCCAAGAAGCACAAATAATAAGGAAATATCACAGGACACATTGTCCACTATAGAAAATAATCCATGCCAGCATGCAATTTTCACCTTCAAATCAAAACACAAGGATTTAGTTGATGGTAAGATTTCTGAATATGCTAGTGTAAAAACTGAGCAGCCAGCTATACTTTACCAAGTGGAAGATGACAGGCAGATAATGGCACCAGTTGCCGATAGTTCCAATTATACCACTACTTCTGTTCATCCCGTTCCAGTTGAATGTGAGGGATTCACCACCCAAGCATGCATATTCCTACCTGTGCATCCATATCAGCAAGCTGCCAATCAGGCTGATGTACTTATGACCCATCCTGGAGAGTCAACTCAGATTGCCGGTAACTCTCTTACAACGCAGACATTTACGTCTGATCAAAAGCCTCAATCCTTATCAGTGCGGCAGCCAGCTATGGATGCAGAATTTATTTCCCAGGAAGGAGAAACTGCAGTGAACACTGAGGAAAATTCTCCTAAGACAGTCCTTCCCACTCAGACCCCAGGCCTTGAACCAACTACCCTTCTGCCCACCACTGTTCTGGAATCAGATGGGGAAAGACCTCCAAAAATGGAGTTTGCAGACAACCGAATTAAAACTCTGGATGAAAAATTAAGAAACTTGCTCTATCAGGAGCATAGTATATCTAGCATCTATCCTGAAAATCAGAAGGATACCCAAAGCATAGACTCTCCATTTTCTTCCTCTGCTGAAGATACACTCTCCTGTTCAGTGGCAGAAGTTATACCCATCAGTCACTGTGGAATTCAAGATGGTCCTGCACAATCCCCTAATTTTCAGGAGACAGGCTCTAAGATTCTTTACAGTGTGGCTGCAAGTCAGCCTGCTAATGTATCAGTGCTCAAAAGGGACCTGAATGTGATAACTTCTATACCCAGCGAATTGTGTTTGCATGTAAGTATAATTCTTTCTGACCAATTCCTTGAATTTTGCTTATGCTTTTAAAGAAATATCTTTTCTAAAACTCTCTCCTTTGAAGTGCAGTTGTCTATCACAAAATTCTGAGATCACAGGTATTTAGGAATACTATGACTTAACTTTCAGGTGCTCAGAACTGCTCAGTAAAATGACACAAACTATCTGTGGTAAGAAAATCCTCTGGTGAATTAGTTAGGAACTTGCAAATAATATCTGTATTTATTGTATTAATGACAGGAAGCAAAACTGATTTATGGGCTGTTTTAGTGAGTGGTGGTTATGTGCCGTGGAGTCAGAACCAACTCATAGCGACCCTGTATAGGGTTTCCGAGGTTGTAAATCTTTACGGGAGCAGAAAGCCTCATCTCTCTCCTGCGGAACAGCTGGTAATTTCAAAGTTCTGACCTTAAGGTTTGCAGCCCAATTCGTAACCACTACGCTACCAGAGCTCCTGTTTTAGTGGGTAGTAGAAGTTAAATTTAGATTTCAATGTAAAAATTCCTGTTACCGGTTTTCTTTTTTTAAACAAAAAATTAATATAATACTCTTTTACTGTATGCCTTCTTCATTCAAGTCAGTGTGTCGAGTTATATGCACAATGATAGATAACTCATGTACTTGATTCCATAAAGTCGAGTGGATTTGATCATATTCACAAATAACTGCTTCATAGCAGAGAATGTAAGAAATATTTGAAGAGAGGTATAAATTAACAGGAATTAGGTATTTTTTGTAGTTGGATGAGAATCAAGAAATATTATGGGGTAGTTGTTACCAGATAGATTTTTATTAACACAGGAATGGAAGGTTAAAGAGTATTAATATCACACTTTCACTGATTTTCAGTTCCATTAATTAAGACATGCTAGGTATACTTTTTTTATTGAATATTTTATTGTTTTTCGATGAAGTTTCCACAGTGGCTTGAAGTTCTCAATCAACAGTTTCTATACAAAGTATTCAGTGACATTGGTTACATTCTTCAAACTGCGTGAACTTTCTTTCATTATTTTCTTTCCTTCTGGTTGTTCCATCTCTGTTATTGTAGTTTCCCTGTCCCTTTACTGTGTTATTTTTGTTTGAAAGTAATTGTTGACTGTTTGGTCTCATATAGATTATTTTTTTAAAAGGAGCACAGTACTCATGGATAATGTTCTTTATTTTGTAAGACAATCTGTTATTTAGCTACATAGTGACCAATCTCAGGGATTAGTTCCAGGTTGAAAGAGTATCTCAAGGCAATAGACTCAGGGAGTCCTCCAGTCTTAACCAGTTCAGTAAATCTTCATTTTTAAAGAATTTGAGGTTCTGTTCCACATTTTTGCCTAATTCTATCAGGATCCATCTATTGTGGCTCTGGTCAGAATGATTGGTAGCTAGGCATCATCTAGTTTTTCTGCTCAGTGTAAATGAAGCCATGGTTTGTATATACTTTAGTCATGTAGACTAGTTTCTTCTTTTATTCTTTTATTTTCTTTATTCTCTTTTGTTCTGAACCATTAGCCACTCAAAAACTTTTAAGATCTCAGACACAACTCATCAAACTAGGATGCAGAATGTAAATTTTATGAACTGTGTATTATACTGGGAGTGTTGTGGCTCTGTAGAAATAACCACTGGATTGCTAACCACAAGGTTGGTGATTTGATCCTACCAGCCACTTCATGGAAGAAAGATGAGGCTTTCTCAATCCACTTAGATTTATAGCCTCAGAAACTCTATACAGGGGTTATGTCTAAACAATAGCTATAATTGTGCCACTGTGTGATTTATTTCATATATATATATATATATAATATATATGAATATATATGCATACACATTAATGCATGCATATGCATACAAGGGGCTTCAAAAAGTCATGGAAAAATTCCATTATCTTTTCATTCCAATTTTCCATGAACCTGGAAGTCCCCTCATATATACCCCCATAGTCCCACAGTTATGAGGATAAGTCAAAAAGTACTACTATAAAATCATAGAAACTTTGATTAAACAAAAATCTCAAAATGCGAAGTTACTGTTTTTGAACATATTATCCATCTAGGTGTATGTATTTCTTTTTAAAAAAAAAACTTTTTATTGTGAATTGAGTGAAGGTTTACAGACAACATCATCAGCTTTATATTCAACAGGTCATACACTTTGCTTCATCTCAATGATTACAATCCCCTCCATGCACCAACAGTTCTCCTGCTTCCTCCCTGTGGTTCCTATTGGCATTCCACCTACCTTCCTATCTCTTCTCCATTTTGTCCTTGGGAAAAAATTGCCCTTTTGATTTTGAATGATGGACCGTACCTTGCTAGTGTTGTTGTCCCACCTATATACCTATCTACTTCTTCACTGAAAATTGGGCCATGAGGAAGAGTTTCAGACCTAAAGGGTAGTTGAGGTTCAGAGTCTCAGGTTCCTCCAGTCTCCTTTTGAGCAATAAACCTGGTCTTTATTATTATTAAATAATTTAGAGTTTTCTACATTTTTTCCTACTCTATCCAGAACCCTCTAATGTAATCTGAATCAGGACAGTTGGTTGTGGTAGCTGGACACTGTCTAGTTCTTCTGGTCTTAGAGTCATAGAGATTGATGTTCACATATTCCATTAGTCTATTGGACTCATTGATGTCAACACTATTCAATTCTTTTCTATTAGACTATTCAGTTCAATTCTATTAGACTAATTGATGTCAAGAATATGCAGTTCTTATCACAAATAGCTGCACCTTAGATGCTGTTCACAAGTCTTTAAGATCTCAGGCACTACTCACCCAACCAGGATGTAGAACATTGTCTTTGTGAATTATATTATGCCAATTGACCATGGTGTCCCCTGAGACTATTGAGCCCCTAGGTCCGTAAACTCTTTGCCTAAAGATGTTTGATAATATCAAGGAAGTTTTCATCATTTTGCCAACTGTGTGCTCCACCGCATTCATACTTGTGTTTGCATGAAATGTACAAATATCCTCTTTGAAACTCCTGTACAATTATCCTCTTTCAAACTCATGTATTTGTGAGATGCATAAATATATGTTTGTGTGTATATGTGTGTATATATATATATATATATATATATAATGTAGATAGATTCCACTTTCCCTTCCTAACCCCTTCAGCCTGTATCTCAATCCATGTATCTATACACAGAACACTGTTGTTCAAAGCATGTTGCATAGTATTCCATTTACATTGCATAGTGTGCCATTATGTGTATGTACCATAGGGTTTTTTTTTATCCATTCTTCCACTGATGGGCACTTAGGCTAGCTCCATCTTTTTGCTGTTGTGAATAGTGCTGCAATGAATTTTGATGTGTATTCTAATACTCATGTCCTGGTTTATATTTCTTGTGCATATATACCCAGTAGAGAGATTGCTGGATTATAAGATATTTCTATTTCCAATTTTCTGTAGAAGTACCATACTGTTGTTCAAAGTGTCTGAACCATTTTACAGTCTGTTTCTGAAAAAATAAAATGATAGCAGTAGATATCTTTCAGGGAGATGGAAAAGAGGAAATTTCTTTTGAACTGATTGTTTAGATCTTTCCCAGTAATAAGGTATTCACATATTACTCTTGTAATTTTTTTTTTAGTGTTTTATTGTGAATTATGTGATAGTTTACATGGGAGAACATTAGTTTTACATTCATCCTGTCGTATATCATTTCATTGCCATGGTTACAATCCCCTCCATGCATCACAACCAACAAAAGGATATACACTACAAGCCTGCCTCCAGGTCTTCAGCACACAGCCCCTCCTTCTCTCTGGGTCCAAA